ATTGAGTAGGTTAATTAAATAAATAAATAATATTTCATTGCAGGAATAAGGTTAGTATATTTATATAGGCTTTCTATTTATGTCCTGTGCTCTTAGATCTTTTAGAGGCACAATTGCCTTCTTGGAATGTCATTATTTAGAAATATTCATATTTTGTTTTCTTCAGCTCTGCTGGAATGTGTTACCACTTAGTAGTTTGAGTTCTGAAACAATAACCTGAAAAAAAAATGTTTAATATAATTAACAGAAGCTTTGCACCATTCATATCCAAAGACATTCCATTGTGGATCCAGCCTTTAAACTATGATAACTTTAGATCTGTTTTTTTATGTTTCTTGCTCTCTGTATTTAAATGTGAACTAAAACCCAAAAAGTCTTTAGAATGTGATTTTGAGTGGTGTGTAATCAGTGATTTTATTGAAGTACATAAGAGCCAATGTGATAGGAATATAGGAATATAGTTCTTGATATCACTGTCGTGTTGAATGAATAGGAAAATTAATAATGTTGAGGGTATTCATTGTGTTCATTTCAATCTTTTTCTCTAAAACTGTGAGCCAGTAATTTTTATATACTGCTTATTTTTCCAATGTACTTTTGCCACATAAAAGTTTTATTTTGGCTAACAGATTGTCCTCAGATGTTTCGTGTTCCAATTTGAATAATATTGTGTCTTCTATTATACAAATGCTATGGAAATGCAGGATTCATGGATCACTGGTTTTGATTCGCCATGTCTCTTGGAAACACCCCATGAAGCATGGTCTGGAGCAGGTGCACTGAGTCACAGAATTGCCAGACAGTTCCTTATGGCTGGCAGCTCGTTTTCCACACACAGAAAACAGATTTTAAGATGAGAAATGGGGCTTTGCTGTCATTTTCTTATTTCTTCATAGCATTTTACTTGAATATTATTTAAGGACTACTTACAGTTACCCTTTTGCAAAAGTGTTTATATCTTTCCACCCTTTACTTCTGCAGCACCCTGGTCCACAGGAGAGTGTTAGCTGCAGCTGACTGTATTGAGATGTCTTGTTTCAGGGGTTTGCTAATGTCAAACAAAGCCATCACGTCATTGTTGAGACCTTTTGCCCTGATAGTAGAGTACTCTTTATTTCAAAAGGTTCTTTATTGGTATTGATAACATTTTCTGCAGATCCTCTGCCTCTGCACACATCTCCTAAAATTGTGCTTCTGTGTGGTATGAAGTAAGAAAACATGGCTTTGAAGTCAGTTCTAGTGACTCTGGCATTGTCTTGGTCCGCTAGAACAAAATACCATGCATTGGGTCACTTATAAACAATAGAGATCTGTGTCCTTCTAGTTCTGGAGGCTGGCCACATCAAGACCAAGACACCAGGCAGGCCAGGGTCTAGTGAGGACCCTCTTCCTGTTACAGAGCAGTGCTTTCCCTCTGTGGCTTCATGCCGTGGGAAGGCTAGGCAAACTCTCAGGCCTCTTCTGTGAAGGTGCTAGTCCCAGCTCTGAGGTCCCTGTGGTCACAACCTAATGGCCTCCCAAATGTCCCACCCTCCTGATGACATCACCACTTTCCAGTCACCCAAGGGTTGTGTTCCTGTAGGGTTTGCACGTAGGAATCAGTCAGACAGAGACTGATTCCACTTCTTGCAGACTGGGCTTAGGCAGGCTGCTCACCTGCTCACCTGGCTGAGTGAGTCTCCTCCTCTGTCTCTTACTTTTGACTGCTGCCGTTCTTCTATAGTTATGTCTGTCTAGGTAGGAATACCAGAGTTTTTCCTTCTTGTATCTTGTTCTGTAAATTGTAGTTTTTCTGTTTGTAGATTTCCACTTCTCTTTTTCAGGGTTCCTTTTAGACCTCGGGAATAGACCACCCCGCTGCCTCCTCAGCTACTGTATTCTCTGCTTCCTATTCCTTGACACTGTCTTGAAGAATCTGTTTGCTTTAGTCACTCTGTGATTTCTTTCAGTTTGGATTTGGGCCTGCCTCTCTGTTTTCTTCAAGTACCATTTCACCTCAAAACAAAATTCTTCCTAGACCTTGGCTGTTGAATCTTGTTGACTGACAATTTTTCTTTCTTCCTGTATTTGTACCTTGATTTTCTTCTCTGACCTTTGTGGCCATTTCTTGCCTTCGTTTGTGTTTCCCATTTCCTTATCCTACCTACAGAAAGTATATATTCCCGGAACTCCTACATCTGTCACTCAATCTCCTCCTCGTCACATGATGACATCTACCTTACCCAGCTGCTTTCATGTCAGTGGTGATGTTTCACGAACACACGCATCCGGCCTTAAGCAGTTTGTTCAATCACTTGGTCAGTGTTTTTCAAACTTCTTGTTTTTTGATAGCAGGCCCCCTTAGGAAGGGAGGGAGGGAGGGAGAGAACGGAAGGGGAGGAAGGCTCAGACCCTGGTCGCCTCTTGCTCAGTTGTGATAATATGTGGGCTTAAATCCATTCAAGGGCACAAAGCATGAGTGAGCACAAGGTCCAGGCAGTACCCAGCCAGGCTCCTCAGTGTCTGTTCCCGCTAGGGTCCCTGCGGTGAAGCTGGGCCAGCAGCCCAGCAGTGGCTCCCTTAGGTCACACAGCCTCACTGGCAGTGTGGATTATCAGTGAACAGGTTAGCTTTGGAGGCTAGGGAGAGATTAAGACACCAAAGAGCACATCCTGAATCCCACTGGGGGATTATTGCTAAGAGTTGCCCAGTCAGCTCAAACTGACTGGCCTCAACCCCTGACACATCCAAAAAAGAGAAAAAAGAAGGCAAGCCATGGAAATGGAGTACACAATTAAGAGACAGTTTAGATGTTGACTGGTTAGGAAAATCAGAGATTAAGACAGAACCTGTCATAGGACTTGGTCTTGGCAGGTAGCATTCACCCCTGTAGAGGTGAAGTCCCTGAGTTGTGGGGTGGTAGAATGAGTGTGTTCCTGGCTGATGTGGCCCTGGCTCAGGACTCCAGGCACCCCACCCTGACTTGCCTGGCTTCCTCTGTGTCTCCAGCGGCTTTCCTCAGGTCATGTTGTCGCCTTCCATTTGCTTAGGGCTTACAAAGAACTTGACTATGCACTGTCCAGTCTGACTTGCTCTGCCGCTCATGAGACAGATAGAACATCAGCACTGTGCGCTTCATGAGGCAAGAGCGAAGCTGCCATGGCACTCAGGTTTATCATCGCCACCCAAGCACCACACACCCTCAGGTTTTTCCATTGAAGATGTATAGGCTTTTGTAACTGATAAATTCACTCATTACTTTCTGTACAGGATATACTCGCAAAATGCTCTTGCGCTTAGAGTAAATTTACATGCATTGGTGTGAGGGGTTTGGAGGTTTTGTTTGTTTTGTTTTGTCATTTGGCGAGTCATTTTGTAAGCCAAAAAAATCTATTCTTGTTTTATGTTATAATATGGATCTAAATGCTTAAACTGTTTAACATGCTTTTTCTTAAATGCTTAACATTATAAAATATTACTAGGACTGTTTTTTGGTTGACAGTATATTGTTTAAATACTAGCTTGAGTCGGGCATGGTGGCACAGGCCTATAATCTCAGCACTTGGGAGGCTGAGGCGGGAGGACCACAAGAACCACAGTCAGTTCTAGGCCAGCCTGGGCTACGCAGCAAGACCCTGCCTTAAAATCAGCAAACAGCAAGAAGAAAACAGACACTCATTTTATTGCTATTGTGACTGTTTGGGCATGTTGGTAAAGCTGTATCAACCTCACTGTCTGCAACTTCAGTGCAATGCAGTAACTGTGCTCAAATCACAATTGTCGTGACTATTAAGTGAAATGATTACAAAGAGTTTACAGCCATTCCTGTCACCTTACTACCTGAAATATCTTCAGCTATTACAAAATTTATATTCCTTTTTATTTCCTGCTGATAGATAATGTAATTATGAATGCTGTTAGTCAAAGCAAATTAATTTAACATTTACATGTCAATTTTTTTGTCGAATTCTTTAAGTTCAATACCACTAATATGATTTACACTTACATACATTAATAAAATGTCATTAAGAAATAAGTAAGGATGATTCCTACAATTCTAAAAGTAACTTTCTTCCTAGAAACGTGTTCTTTATATAATCAAAGTATTCTGTATTGACTTTGTTTAGTCTAATGTTTAAAATCTTTTTTTCTGTTTTAGAAAGCCTTATTGTCCTAAAATAATTTCCAATAGAGTCAAGAAGATAATGAAACTTACTTGATTGCATTAGAATATTCTAAATTTGTCTGTTTTGTCTCTTGTGACTCCAGTCTCTGTAGACAGTAGACATTATGTCATTGTGAGACAGACATTTTAATTTATGTTTAATGTCATGCTCAGTGGTTGTGGGATGTAGATATCTGATATTCAAGGAATGATAAAGGCATGGAAGCTTACATTCATCTTCGGAGAAAGACCTAACAGCAGTATTTTTCTAACTTTATAAATTACAGAAATTATAGACATAACCTCATCTACTCAGTGCACTGAAAATCAGTAGGTAGTTTATAAAGATAAGTAGGCTGGGTGTTGGTGGCTCACACCTATAATCCTAGCTTCTTAGGAGGCTGAGATCAGGAGAATCACAGTTGGAGGCCAGCTCAGGCAAGTAGTCCACAAAATCCTACTTCCACAATAACCAGAGCAAAGTGGACTAGAGGTGCAGCTCAAGTGGTAGAGCACCCACATTGCAAGCATGAAGCCCTGAGTTCAAACTGCAGTCCCACCAAAAAAGAAAGGAAGAAGCATAACTAAGTTCTTTTTACATGAGTTGCATTCAGTTATTGTGCATTAAACATAATATACAAAGTAAGGTAGTAATGACCCCCCCCTTTGTACCCTCCTTCACCAGCTGTATTTTTTCTCTTTACCCTCTTTCATATGCATTTTGTTATAATAAAAGAATCTCAGATTCACTTTTAGGTACATAGAGTAATGATTTTTAAAAATTGATGTTTCTTTTCTAATTTTTCATTCTTTTTGGTCTGTGAAAATAATGGTGATTCATTGGCTTTCTTTTTAGGAAATCCAAGTTAGATCTGAGAGTTGCAGCAGCAAAAGTAGAGGAGCTGACTAGAGTGACAGAAGTCCTCCATGAAGAGGTGCAAAAGAAGGTGTGTTCTGCTCCAAGGTTCTGAGTGCCTGTGGCTTCGCTCTATGCAGTTCACTCTGGCTTTATTTTGGATTAGGTATTAGAGAAGGTTATTAAAAGACAGTTATTTTATTGTTCACTAAGTATGAAATATGAAAGTTAGAAGCCAGATTACAACATTGGAACCAACTTGGTAAATAATCCTCCCTTCCATTCACTTTGGCCCAACTAAATAAAACATCATAGTCACCCCTGCACATATCGTCATGAAGATACATATAAGGTCAGGATGGGAAATAACATCTAATGCTGTACCTCACATATTTATTAAATTATTTTTATGATGTAGAGAAATTTTAGGGTTTTAAGGAAAGATCAGGCTTTCTATTACATGAGTCTAATTATTAAAAATTATAGCTTTGTACTTACTAGCTGTGTAACTATCTAAACCTTTTTAACTGATCTCAAAAAACTGATTATAGCTCTCCAATAGTGAAGACATATAGAGGAATATAAGAGCCCTCCCATAAATAGCAATTATAAAAATTGGATACCTCTGGAAACCACTCTAAAATAGAAAGAAGCAAAAGGAGAAAGCAATTCTTAGTTTTTGGATTTCTTGATCTAATGATTCTCCCAATCCCCATAGTTATGGCTTCAGAAAACAATTTTGTGTGGACTTAGTATCAAAGTTTGAGGCCCCAAAAGCAGGTGGGCATTTAAAGAGGAAATACTGACAACAGGAGAACCACACATTCACACAAAAATGAAGGCCAACTTTTGGGTTTAAATTCTTACCAGATTCAAGTCTAAGAGCCAAATGAAACATGAGCATGGGGGAACGGGGAACTCCAAGGCACCCAATGAAGAAGCAGGCAGAGACCTGGGAGAAGTGGACCGTAGGAAGACAGAAAGGCATTGGACTCCATGCTTGAATTTGCTGGTTTTGTAATTGAGTACATTCTCAAAACATGTGCAGATCCAGCTGCAAAGAACTGAAGCTTTATGGTTTGAAGTGTCAGGGCAGAGCCCAATCTGGAAGTCACAGGGAGAGGAGGCCCTGCTTCTGAAGTCATGCCACACAGGGCATTCCCTGGGGACTAGATATAGAAACACAAGTGGAAGCAGTAACTAGTCACAGATATCAGCTGTTGTGCTGTTGTGCACTGTAGGGTGAGCAGATTCAGAATTCATGTTCAAGCTAGACAATTGCCACCCTAAACAGCAGCATCAAACAGCCATTATACTCACAAGGATCCAAAGTAACCACAGTACATTTTCTACAGCATCCAGTTCTCAGCCAAGACTTACTGACAGGAAACAGGATCCACATGTGCACCAGGTAGGGGAGGCCACTGACTGTTGGATATAGCAAGCAGAGGCTTCAAATCAGCTATTGTAAATAAGTTCAAAGAATCCTTTTAAGAATCTGTTTTTAAATTACCACAAAGTGTAAGTTCTTGAGGAGGGAAAGAATTTTGATTGAGAAGTAGTTTTAAAAATAGAGATCATTTCAAGACAAAGACAGAGCTTAAGAGAATAGCCACTGAAAAATCCACTAGGTGGCTCAAATGGATTGAAAAGACAGGATGACAGATGAACTTGAAGACAGAACAATATAAACAGAGTCTAAATATTGGAAGGTATGTGTGACAATGTGCACAAGTCCAACATAGGTACAGTGGGAGCTGAGGGAGGGCAGGGCATGAGCAGAAACAGCATCTCGTGACATAATGGCTGCAAACTTCCTCAGTTTGGTAGAGAACAATAGCAGATCCAAGAAACCCAGTGAGCCCTGTGAAGTAGAAACACAAAGAAAATTGCTCCTAGATACATCATGATGACACTGCCAGTCAATTTTAAAGAAAATTGAAAACAGCAACAGAAAATGACCCAAACAGGGAGCAATGATTGCTGAATGGCTGAGTTCTCATCATGAAACTGACAGCAGAAATGCTGGAATAGTGTGTTCAGAGAGCTGAAGGAAAACAGGGCTCACCAGGAGTCGTCCATCCAGTGAAACTAGATCTCAGCAACAAACACATTGTGAAATAAAGGCAGAAAGTGTCCCCGGCAGTCCTCATCTCAAAATATTCTGAGGAGTCAAATTAGGCTAAAAGGAAATGGCAGCAGAGGTAACTCAGTAGGAAATTAAATGCAAAATAATTGATGTACATATTCTTATTTCTTTTCATATCTTTAAAAGGACTGCTTAACAATAATAAGGATTTAAAACCATTCAAACTTTACCCTTTGTTTCTCCAGCATAGGTCAGTCTTACCAAGTCTGGTCATGTCAGACACCAACTTAAATGCCTTCTGTGGTTCCCCATTGTCTTCATGAACTAATTCCTTATCTTAACAATCAAGGACCTTCTTCTGAGCAGCATGTTTTCTGCTTTGTAAGTCATCCCCAGTACTGACCAGCCAACATCTTGAGCCACTAGCCATTTCAAATTCCTTGAGGTCCCATAGGAATCATGCTCCATTTGTCATGTGTCCCCTAAATTTGTCTTGGGCTTCTCTTCTCCTCTCCCACCATTCATTTCATATTTATCTAGAAAATGCTTTTCCTATGTAAATCTCCAAAAATGCAGTCATGGGATCAACTCTCTCAATCCCGTTTCTTACTCTTGTCCAGTTCCACCTGCCTTTTTTAAACTTGGTTCTCAGACAAACCCTCTTCCCAAGGCAGTAAGATAAACACTGTCAGTCTCCATCTTCCATGCTTCCTTGCTGTGCCTCTCTTTAGATCCAACAAAAATCCCCCGGGAAAACTCTGATCTGTGCATTTTAGATCTGTGCTCATTCCAGAACCAATCTCTGTGACCAAGGAAAGGAAGAACTTTGATTCCCACCATTTAGAATCATATGCCCCACCCACTGTGATGGGAGGGGAAAAACCAAAACCACAGCAAATCTACAAAGTGCTGTGGAGAAGAGGAAGGAAGGAGTGCTGTCATGACAAAATACCCAATATCATAATATAATCACTTCTTTTGTAAGCTCCGTCATGCTTCTGACCCGGGAATTAAATACATCTTATTTACTGTCAAAAAAAAAAAGGACTGCTTAAAGTAAAACATAGCACTGTATTTGATGGGTTCGTGAAGTCTGCACGTGGAGATGCATTGTTGCAGGGTTCCAGTGTTTTCCGAACTAATGCTGACTCTAAATAAATACGGCCAAGTTAAGGAAGCACATTGTCTGCAGCAACAACAAAAACAATTAGTTCATAGAGGTACTGTCAAGAGCAATAGCAGACTTAATGTTATGGAAAGTATTTAACACAAAAGAAGGCATAAAAGGATACACAGTGTTTTCTAGAAGGGTAATAATAAAACCTGTAACTGTCTGCAAGCATCACTACAGCAGAGGAGAGACGTCCTGCGATGGCTTCGGTAGACGTGAGTACACGTGACACAGTGAAGAGCGTGCTGCACGTCAGTCTGCTCCTTGGACTTGCTCTGTAGCAAATGGAGACGGAAGAAGTCTGGCTGCAGCAGCTGTTTGGATTGCTGTCTAACATGGCACTGGGGATGTTTCTCCCTTTTCAACGTACTGCATTTATTTCCAAAGTCATACTGCTCTTTAAACTTGGTGTTAGAAGTCTAATAGCATGGTTTTATAGTATGAACTGGTTTTTTTAATGCTGCAAAATGGTGGATTACATTTTCACGTGCGTCAAACGGTCTTCAATTTTCCGTTTTTCTAGACGGAGGATGTTATGTCTGCCCGAGGAAGGGAGGAAGCATCAGATAGGCGCTTACACCAGTTACAGTGTAGCATCAGAGAATTAGAAGCAAGGTGAGTTGTCGAATATTCTCCTCGTGCTCCCTTTGCTCTGTGCAAGCTGACGACATGGCTTGCCATTAGATTACGGTCCTTTACTTAGGCCCCTTTTGGAAGCAAGGAAGTGTTGCTTTAGTAATATTTATCTATATGCTTAGGCTACATATTTGCTGCCCACCCACACTTCTGCCATAATGATTTAGTTGTTAAACTATAACTCATAAGATGATTTTTAAAAGATTGATAATGTATACCAAAATTTCTGATAGTTCATGTTTTATCATAATACTCCTTTAAGTGCTTTTATTGCTTCACGTTAAAATAATATGAAAAAAGATGTGCTAAGTGCTTTAATGATTTTACTTTGTTATAAAATGAATAATTTGTCTGTTTCATAAAAATCTTACCATTTGGCACATTGGTTATAATGAAATTGACAATAATACATGCCTGCCCCAACCCGACTTCAACATGCATTTTTATGCTAAGAACTTTACCATGTAAGATGTAAAACAACTAGAATGAGCAGAAGGAAATAGGTTTGACCCTTGAAGGCATCCATAATAAGTCAATTTTAGAATTTAAAATAAAAGTGGTAAGATACAGTAAAATTTTGGTACATTTATTTGGGACAGGACATAGAAAATGTACCCAGAGCACATGTGGGACTCCCATTCCTGTGCCTGCTGAGCAGGAGTGGTGGGAAAAGGTCGAAGAGAGAATTAAGTATGTCTAGTGAGACTGACATGGAGGAAAGTCTTCAGCACTTTTGAGAGTAACTTTGCTCTTCACCGATGAAATGTTATCGACTCCACGTGCACTAAGTCCCTGTTGTGTACAGTCAGTGCAGTCAGGGTTGGCTCTGGGACTCTAGGGTGGCCAGCATCTAGTGGCATCTGATCTTCATCTGCAAGATGATGAAGAAAGGCCCTTAGAGCACACTGCCTTTAATTAGCTTGTATCTTCACTAGGCTGTCTTAATCAGCAGGGAAAATTCACAAGTGGATACTACACTTAAAAATACAGTTATCAAAGAAAAAGTAAATATTTAGAACACAGTGTAATTGATATGCTTCACTTACTTGTATAATCACTTCAAATGCCTTCTCACCTCTAACCTTTTAAATGCTTAAATTCTTAAACAAAGTGAGTTACTCCACAATATAATGAATTGATTCTTGGTTGATGTTTTTGGTTTTTGAGCAAGGGTCTCACATGTAACCCAGGCTGGTCTCAAACCTGAGATCCTCCTGCCTTGTCATCCAGAAGTACATAGTGGGCCCCCACCAGCTGTCCAGTCTCATGTGGACACATCCACGTGCACATCTTTAGTGCTTAACCAGAACGCAAATTCTCTTCTCCTTCAGGAAATCGTCACTTCCTAGACTGAAGTCTTTCGAAAGCTAGGTTACCATGTGGACTGAGTTTGAAAGGCAGTTGAAAATTATAATTAAAATTTGATTTCCTTTCAAGGTTTGGTTGAGTAGTTTAAGGACTCCTCAGTACAGTGAAAGACCAAATGCAACTTACAAATTTAGGAGAGAATTTTATTCAGACTTTTGGACTAGGGGAAGAATGTTTCAAAACAAAGAAGAAGGGTTTATTTGGCAGATACACAATATGACTTGATGTGTATGAGTCATTGTCACTGCAGGAGGAAGGAGAGGGTTCCCTCAGCCTCCAGTGTCCATGCAAAATCACAGGTACCTAAAGATCCACGTATGAAAAGCATTTCAAGGTGACTCACAGCAAAGAATCTCACATCATAAGATTTATTTTAGTATAAAAGGATAAAGTAGGGAGAAATGGGTGGGGAAGGGAAAGGAGTGGGAGTGAAGACTCCAATGGTGGTTCTGATCTGTGACCCTCATTCTCAAACTGGAGAATCCACCTGGTCATGTGGTTGCAGCCTTAATCATTAGACAGCAGAACTGGGTTCTACTTATAATTTTTTAAACTGGTCTGTTTATTATTTTTAAATGGTTTTAGTTACTTTGGAAGGATTGGCAGGAGTGACTTCAGTTTTGCTGTTGGTTCTGACACAGAATCTCCTATAGTTTGGGTTTGCTTAGAACTTGCTATGTACCTCAGGGTGGCCTCAAACTCATATCCTCTTGTTTCAGCATTCCTAGTACTAGGATTATAGGCATGCACCACCATGTCTGGTATGACTCTGTTTTTATTTTGACAGCAGTCTCTTTGGTTTTGAACAGTTTTTGTTTGTTTGTTGCTGAAGATATCCACTGACCAGTTACTGTGGTTTGGCTTTTATAGTCCCTTGCAGCCAAGATGAGATGCTCCAGTGGTCTCATGTGATCCCACATCGGCAGATGTGACAAACAGGCTGAGTCAGTGCCAATAAAACCCTTTTTGGTCAATTTTAAGCAACTGAGGGGTTTATAAGGAATGGCCCTTCGGCTAGACTTACCTGGTATCCATTTTTTAGTTTAATTTTGTCTGTTCTGTAGGTAGTGTCCTGGTATCTTAAAAAAAAAATTCTGCTTAGTTTACTTAGATAGAAATTCTGCTTCTGTAGAGTGTCAACAACACTCAACAGCTAGAATGTTCTACAAGGAAAATATAAAACAAAACCAGTAAGAACAAATACGTAAAGAAACATATGTTTGAAAAATAAGTACTTGCTAGAGACATTTTCCAGGAATTTGTTTGTAAATACCTTAGGGAAGGATCCAAACTGTAAATGACAAAAACACATAGAACAGTCATCATTAGAATTTTTAAATTTTAGTAATTAAAAAAATTTTTAGTTATTTTTATTGCATATAGCATTTTAGAATAATAATTATGACAGCATTAATTAGTACTATTAGGCTCTCATCATCTCTTAAATAGATACTTAAACTCTTAGTTTAAAAATGATACTATATACATCTTATTAATAATTGGTTTTATATATATATATATACGTATGTATGTATGTATATATTCCCATTTAATTTTGTCTTCAAAGTGAGTGGATTTTAAATAGGTGCAATATTCCTTACTTATTACAAATTTCTTTTGTAGATGACCAGTCCTTTCAATTAAGTTGGGACTGTTTTGTATTTTAGAAAACTTACATACTTGGGGAATATAAGTACATTTAACATTTTAAAAAGACAACAACATCACAACTGCACAGATGTTTTGATTTTTTTCCTACCCCAAAGGTAAAATTTATTTTGCCTTTGGAATAGAATCTTCAGCTATGTAAGATAACAGGTGTATAGCACTAACAAAAATCAGAGCTTTCAGACCTCTTATTTAGACCTCTTACAAGCTTGGGGAGACCATGCCAGTCACCCCAAATAGACTTGTTTCTTGTTGTACAGTGGCTCAGTATGTGTTGTATAGAAGACAGTACTTTACTGGTGGTCACTTGGTATGTTTAAACCTGCATGCCTCAAACCCTGTAAACTCTTATATAGCATTTAAATAAAATTTAGTCACATAGCACACACATTACTAGTAGAGTGTAAACATGTTATAATCAATTTAAAGACATTTATGTGAACAGATACTTACCGGTAGAAATATCTTTAAGATATTGGGGTGTCAAAAGATAGACAACACAACTCAGAAATCAATAGGCAAGGCAAAATTTACTTTTGCAGAGGGGTGGGCACCCAACAAAGAGTATGGGAAGCAAGCATACCAGGTGGGAAGTCTGGTCAGGTTTTATCTCTAATGCAATGTTGCCTTCCCCTGGATTGGACAGGTTTCGGGTTTGCAGTCTACACCCTTGGATAATTGGAAGGGGCCAGGTTTGAGGGGGGCTTTGGAGACAAAGAAGTTCAAAAGTTCAGGGAAGCAATAATTGCTTTAGGTTATCAGCTCTGGAACCAGGGCATCTAGCAGAATTTGCATGGTGGCTAAGGATAAAAACCCTTTGTTCTTAAAAGAAACTTTTATCAGGTTAAGGAGAGTTCCATGACATGAGTTAGTGAGGCAGTTCTTACTGAGTAAATCCTTTGACAGAAAAAAACCGACCTAAGTTCATTCTTAAATTTCCCCTTTCTTTTATTTATAGTGCTGGTTTTCAAATCTATCTAGCATTAATTAACTTTCTTGTTTGACTGTGTCTAACAGGAGATTGTCAGGGTAAGAGACAGGAGTCTGTTTGGTGAGTGAGGTCTCAATTATCTTTGGGTGAACCCTCTCACACATGTATGATATAGCACACTCCTGTGGTCATTACTCCTAACACAATTATGAGGGAAGTGAAAAAGGGCACCATCATGCTTTTCCATTTTCCAAACCACTGTTCCAGCAAGCTATGACCTCAGTCATCTACTCTGGAATTTTCTGCAAGTTCATTGGCAAGAGTAGTTAATTCCTGTAAAGCCTTTGTAATGGTGCCATCAGAGGCGGTATTCTTGGAAATGAAAGTACAACACTGACCTCCTACCATTACACAACTCCTCCCTTTTCTGCTAACTTCACGCACAGGACTAATCTAGTCTGCCATGCCATTCGGCTTGTGGCATCTCATTGCTCTGCTCTCCCTTGATGGCATCTCTAGTGTAGTTGACAGATCTCTGCTGGTTTTAACAGATGTAATTGATCCAATCTACATTTTTATTGACTGTGGACCACCAGAATAGTGCAGACTGGAAGCCCGCTGCTATTTGATTTCCAGCCTTGAATTCATCGGGGACTCCTTGGGGGACTCCCATGCCATCTGTATAAACATAGTGGTCAAGTGCAGTCATGCCTTCTGTGCTTCTTTTATTTGGGGACTGGCCGGGTTGTTGAAATGCCAGGGTGAAAGAGAGAGCCAACTGAAGCAAAGCACAGGTGTCACTCCAACTTTCCAGGAGAATCTCAAGCAAAGGCCCTCTACCATCCAACCAGACATCTGCTTAGGCTTTGGTCAATGCATTTTGACTGCTTATCTCATCAAAGGATCAACCTCTATTACAGCCGGCCAGGTTACCCATGAACATCAGCAACTCCCCATACCTAGAGAGGTTCAAGATGTAGTTGGTGTCAGGGGACAAAGAACTGATGGTTCG